ATGTAAAAATAAAAAATATTATATATTAAAATATATTTAATAAATACTGGAGACATGCACAAAACATCTGAGCAAACACACTGGGGAAAGTATGATGTCTCTCTCTTATCTCTGTCTCTCTGGAATCTGACTCCTCTTACTTTTTCCTCCAGCTGCTGCTGTGTTTCAATTCATAAGATAAAATATGGCTGCTGATAGGTTCTCTGCTTCACAATCTTGGGCACCCGAGGTGAGATTAATCCTAGAGTCTTTTGACCTCAAGTTCAAAATTATATGGGAAATATTGGTATCGAAATAAAATTGGCATAAAACATTGTGTAAGTTTAAAGTGTGCAATGTGTTGGCTTGGTACATTTATATACTACAAAGTGATTATTATAGTAGCCTTAACTAATGCCTTTAGCCTATCACATATTTTTTATTTCTTTTTGTATTGTGAATAGTTAAGATTTAGTCTTTTAGTAACTTTGAATTATAATATAGTGTTGTTGACTATAATTACTATGTTGTGCATGAAATTGCCAGAATTTATTTATCTACTAATTATAAGTTTGTACCCTTAAACAATATATCTGCAATTCCACCACTCCTTAGCCCTGATAACTACCATTATACTCTGTTTTTACAAAGTTTTTTAAAATTCTACATATAAGTCATATCATACAGTATTTGTCCTTCTCTGTCTGTCTATATCACTTAGTATAATATTTTCAAGGTCTATCCATTATGTCACAAATGGTAGAATTTCCTTCTTTCTCATGGCTGAATAATCTTTTTTTCTTTTTCTTCCTTCCTTCCTTCCTTCCTTCCTTCCTTCCTTCCTTCCTTCCTTCCTTCCTTTCTTTCTTTCTTTCTTTATCTATCATCTATCATCATCATCTATCTATCATCTATCATCTATCTCCCATCTTCTTTATCTATTTACCCACCGATGGACACTTATGTTGGTTGTATAGGAAATATATTTTATTTCTAACCATGTGGTGATGAGAATAAAAGAGAATAGTTAACTTGGGCAGTGAATCTATGCTGATCTCCGTTATCTTTTCCAGTCTACCTTGTAAACATCCAGAGTTTGTAGAATAATTATAATCTTCCAATTCTCTCATTCCTCTTGTCCAAAATTCCTAGATTTCTCTCTCAAAACTTTCTCTACTTTATGGTCTTGGATTTAAGCCCTGCCATTTAATAAGCTGTTTCTAAAACCAAATGACAAAGACCTTTAGAGGAAAAAAAACGGAATTTTAGAGAACTACGGCCAGCTGCTGAATAAACCATGCCTGCAATTGTTCAAAATGGAATGCCTTAATTCAGAGAGAAAAATGAAAATAGGTACGTACTTAGAGCAGTGAAAAAATTATTTCTGTCCAATAAAAGCCATGCAGCAAATCCCATGAGTAAAAGTCCAAGAACCTACAAAAATGTCAATGTGATTTTTAATAATTCCTAATAAAAATTCATTGCATTTTTTTCTAGACTAAATAATTTTGAAGAATCTTACCAGGAAAGCTCCATTAATGAGGTTAAGAAAGTATTTTAAAATTAATGATTTGCTTTTCCTTAACATTCTTTTCCTCCCAAGATACTGATGGTTCTGAAAAGATAAGCAAAGCTTTTACTACAAACACTTGCCATAGTAACAATTTTAAATGATTCTGCTGCCTAACGTTATTTATTTGTACTTTTTCCTTCTCATACCAGTGGTCAATATCACATTCCCTTCTGCCCTCTCAATATTAGAACATATTGACATTATTTTGAAACTGTACCTGTCTTTCTCTATCTGCATTTTTTGGCTAGGCAGTTGAGACCTAGAGGAATTTTTATAGTATGTCAATAGCTGCTTTTCTCAACTTTTTGCAATTTTCAGAAAGTAAAATATTTTATTTGGTTTCCAGTCTTGACACTCTTTTCTCCTTTCCTTTATCTCTTCATGTCCCTACTCTTTGCCAGAATAAAGTCAGCTCCTCTTGAGGTCTTGCTGTTGCCTGACCTCAATTTTTGCCTATTTTCTTCTTGACATGTCTTTCTACCTATGTAGTCTCTGAGGTCTTTATGTGAAGAGACTAGGTCTTGTATATCATCATAACCCCATAGTCTAGCACATAGTAGGTACTCAGCAGATATTTGTTGAATGAATGGACTAAATTATTTAATTTGTTTATATTAGGGTACAGAGTATAAGGAAAGGAACTAACTTAAGGTTGTTTTAACTAATTTTTCCCCATGCCAATTTTCCTAAAACTTCTATGAAAAAACCAACACCCCATTGTTTTTTTGTTGTTTTATTACATATCAATGTTTTAAAATTTTCTGGGGAGAGAATGATATGTTTAGGAATTTGGACTTTTTTAAAAGCATACTTTTAAAAATGAGAAGATAATAAAAACAAGTTCTTTTAGAAACTGATAGGAGAAGAAATTTCTAATGGTGTTACATGGTATGGAAGTAAAAAAAAAAATAAAGTGAGAATTCAGTACTCTCAAAGACAACCAATTTGGTAAGGAAGATGTTCACAGTAACTTCAAAATAGCAGTGGGTTAGTCCATTTGGTCTACTAAAACAAAATACCACAGACTAGGAAGCTTATAAGTAAAAAA